AGGGCGACAACGTAGTCGTAGCTTTGGCCGAGCACGAGCCATGAGAGGTGTCCGAGGAGCACGAGGCCCCAGAGTCGCAGTGCCATCCTCGGTCGATTTGCTTACTGTTATTAACCACGTCATCTTCTGTGACGAAGTATCGAAAACGTGGGAAAACATTCGAAAATATGTCGTATCAAAGGGTCACAAGCTTGCTACAAGGACATCTGAACGAAAGGTCATTTTTAAAGCGGATTGGATCGCATTTCGTTGATGTCTCGGCTCAATGGCCCTAGTTAGCAGCGTGGTATAGACTCGGACACGTACAGACTAGATGCAAGCGGTCACTCCAACTCTCGCTTAAGGCCCCGTCGCATGGTGGATCGCATGGAAGAAGACGAATGATATCTCTCGAACAAGAGAACGTTTGAGGTAGCGCTGGCCCCGTAATGCAGTGCATCAAAGCATGTGACCAAACCGCATCAAAAATATGCGATTTCGTTGTTGTTGTTGCTGTGGGTCGTCTATTAAATTAGATAAACCTGCGCTAAATACTGACCTGGAGCGCCCCCCGCATCACGTGGTAGTCGAAGTAGGGGTACTAGGGTAAGATGACGTCGGGTAGTCGGAGCTCAGCTGCGGAGGCTCCAGTGGCAGGTGTCTCGTAGAAAGCGTCGTCGCCATCCAGATGCTGTGTCGGGTGCTGTGATTGCGTCCTTGGTGGGGCACGTCGACGGCGGGCTTTGGCTGGTGAAGGTGTGATTTCGTCGCGGACTAAAGACCAACCGGTGTGTTTGACTAGCTTGATCAATCAAGCTAGTCAAAGTCAACCCTGCGATGGAGTGCCATGTGCATTTATCGAGTTGTGAGGGTTATTGAAAAGTTTGAGAAACAAACCTGCGATCGAGTCGACGGACGAGATTAGCTGAGCTTTAGTTGAGCTTTAGCTGGGCGGCAGTAAAGAAGCTCTCAAAGTCCAACCTTTATTTATACTGGTAGGAACCCCCTGGTGACACCAGCGCACAAGCAATAAATGTTGTTGTTGTTGAAATGAGTCTATTGACACTGTGAGGTATGATTGTTACTACCTGTCAACAACTATAAACTCCGAGAAGTGGTGTGCTGAGCCTCTCAGAATCTATGTCGGGGAAAGAAATTGCCTCACGGCCGTCATTCGCCGCGCGGCGCGCGGCGACCAAGGGAGGGTATCGTGGGAACAGAGCCGGGGGCCCTTTCTGGGTGTGTTGCCTAGTCGAGCACGACAAGGACGAGGGAGCGCATCTGCACAGCGTACGGGCGGAGGCAAGGGCGGCAGGGACTTCCAATGGCAGCGGCCGACGGTCGCGGCCATCCTGACGTCGCGGGTCTTCGCAACAAGCAATAAATGTGTATGGGGGCCTAACTTTTTGGCTGGATTTGGGTGACGCCATTCCAAGGGCACCTGGTGCCTTAGGCGGCGCGGCTTGCCGCGACGCCCGCAGGGCCATGGCGCGCTCCGGCGTGCTGTGTGCTCTGTGTCTTACGTCCTTGTAACGAAGATAACGCGGAACACGTTCATATATAAATTTATATAAGGGGGCCTAACCGTGCAGTACTAGTATGTGATTAGACAAAATGGACTGACAATGACGTTTTCATTGGTCAAGCGCGGAAAAGGCACACATTGAGCGCGGAAAAGGCACACATTGTAGAAAACCCCGCGATAGCTGGCTGAGCTGTCAAAGATACTTGTCAGGCGGTGTATTACCGGGATTACCACGATGGGTTTCTTTTCCTGGTAGGAACGTTTACGTGGTGTACCAGCATCCCAGGGGATTAATTCGTACATTCTGGCCAACCCATTGGCTATAATTCCAGAATGACTAACCAATGAAACGCAGTTTCATTGGTCTCAGCCAATCGCATCGCGCCGAGCATGTCCTGTGAAGTGCGATTTAATAGTTAACGTTACC